CCGGGCCGAGCCAAGCCGAGCCGAGCCGGCTCCTTATGAATAGTGCTTAGGAATAGTGGCTATGAATAGTGAAAACTTCCTTCACTCTTTTAATATAGGTAGATACACAGCAGTTTCGTGCCAGGATGCCAAGACCGTATTCGCCCACACATATTTACACATTCTACATATATTCAAAGGGACAACAAGCTGGAATAAGTTATTTAGAAAGAGGACAAACTATGCATATAGGAAAATAGGTTTAAAATGTAAACTAATGATTCAACGTAATAGAAATACACAATTGGAGATCCAACGGACTACGTTCAATACAAAGATCTAGTTACAAATGACTCAATAAGAATTTTGGAGTTTTAACTCAGCCCTCTATCTACGATAAATATAAGTTTTGCCAAGAAAAGATTGTTGATATAAACTATACTTTTAATGATAACTATATCTTGTAAACAGCATAAGTGAAAAACCAATGTGGGTGGCAACATCACTTGTGTGATTGCAAACTTAATTGTTTCTATGAGAAATATACCTAAGCAAATTCTCTACTACATTTGCAAAATCCAAGAAGGTTAACAATATAGAATTAAAGTTTGATATGAGAGATAAAGTATTTGATTTATTATCTAGGTTTGCAATAATGATCGACATTTCAAATATTGTTTTCACTTATTAGTCAAGTGAGTCTCATAGATTCTTGCTAAGAAAAGTTCAAAGCGAAAGCCACTTATCCTGATATATTATTTTTCAATAGTACTCTTCTTCATCTTTTTTTTTATCTTGTTGACTTCTTCCATTCATGTGGAGGGTTGTTAGAATTAATGGTTTATATAGATGCAATTAATAATTTTAATAAGTGTAAATTGGAAAAATATCCAATTTGTGCAATAATTAGTCACGACTTTTAAAATGCAAAGGGTGCATATCGAAGCATAGTGGTGTTTTAGATTAGATTTGACTATTCAAGAAGGTTCATAATAAAAAGTCTGGGCCTTTTGATAGGGTGTGATCTTTATTACTAAATCATGATCCTATGTAAAAGGTGAGATCCAACGATTCATATTAATTTATGTCAAAAGGTACACCTATTCGAAAAAGACACATCGAATTGATAAATCGAATTCATTTCATTCCATTTTTCTTCACTCCAATTCAATTCCAGATAATTGATTTATAATTACTTCCCTCTCCAAATTATATCGAAAT